TTTTTGAGAGGTTTTTGCTATAGGGCGCGTGCGCTTGCCAGACAGACAGAGAGAGACATAGAGACAGAAAGCGAGAAATCACCCCCCAGGGGGGATGGTCACGCCGCAGTCCCTTCTCCTCCATTCTCCTCTCGGGATCTTGGGCACGCACGCACACGTGCCCAGCGTGAGATTTAAGCCACCAGGTCCGGGATGCGAACCGCAGTCAACTACGTGGGAGTCCAGCGACATAGCCATTACGCTAACTGCTGGTTCCCCCAACTCCTCCTCTTGATGGAGAAGCTGCAAAGTCAGATTGCAAAGGAGTGTAGGTGTGGAGAAGGTTGGGATTCAAAGCATCTTTGCAATGAACCACAACTGAATTTAATTTTCTCTCTTAAATAAATGTATTTTCTGTAGAAAGGCCACCATTTCTTGTATCTTAATGTAGCACTCCACTTTGTTCTGACATTCCAGATGATTCATAAATCACACATTTTTTGAAAAAAATTGCCGGAGAGTGTCTGTGCTCACCAGAGAGAGAAGAGAGGCAGAGACAGAGGAAGAGGGAGGAAGCATCCCTCATGGGGAATGGTCGTGCTGCAATCCTTTCTCTTCTACCTTTCCCACCTTCCAGGATTTGGGGTACGTATGCATGCGCACGCGCCCAGCATGTTTTCCAAAGCACTGGGTCCAGACTTGAATGGTGCAGTTGGCCATGTGGGATCCAGCTCCTTACCCACGAGGCCCCAGCCTGGCCCAATCCCACGTTATTTAAATAGTTGCCTTACTTTCTGTTCTAGTTTTATGTTGCTTGACCTATTCATCTTTATTAAGTACACTGGGTTGTAAATAATGCTTTGCCCCCGGGGGGGGTGGATCGCTAGGCTTTCCGATGATGACTGAGAGCAATATCTTGAATTCATTCTGCAAGTATTTCTTGAGCATCTACTACATGCCAAGCCCTCCGGGAGCCGCTGGGAACACAATGGAAGGTAAAACAGACACATGCCTCCTTTATGAAGCTCATGGTCTTATGAGGAGAGAGACATTAATCAAATGATCACAAAAATAATTTTTCTTTTTTAGAATTATTTAATTTTATTCATTCATTCATTTACTTTTCATTTGACCAGAGAGAGACACAGAGAGATCAAGAGAAGGAAAGTGAGAAAGCAAGCCACCAGGTCTAGGACTCGAACCATGGTTGGCCATGTGAGAGTGTCCAGCACCTTAACCACCATGCCACCTGCTGGTCCCCCACAAAAATAAATTTAAAAAAAATGGCAACTGTGATGGATACTACAAGTAGGTACATGAGGCTGTGAGGATTTTTTGTTGTTTTAGCTGTTTTCCTTTTTTTTTTTTTTTTTTTTTTATAATGATAGCATGTGGAAAGAGAAAGTATCCTGAGGAGGGTCTCGTCAAGCTGCCATATCATTTCTCCAGACCTCCAGCTCCTCAAGATCTTGGGCACCTACATATGCCTTCTATGTTTTCAGGCTGATCCAGGGACTCGAACTTGTGGTTGGTCATGTGGTTTAGTATTGTAGATCACCATGCCATAGAATACACTGCCCGGCTAGGCGGTTTGTTTTAATCTGTTATGTGTGTGTGTGTTTCTCTCTGTTTTTTCAGTAACTTCATTGAGGTATGATCGACATATAAGCAGCTCACATTTAAAGTGCAGTGCTGGCCAGGTGGTTAGGGCAGCTGGGTCCCATACCGCCGACTGCGCAGTTTGAGTCTAGACTCAGTGACTTGAAAAATATGCTGGGTGTGTGTGTGTGTGAGTGCCCAAAATCCCAAGAGGAGAATGGGGGAGAAGGGACTGCAGCATGGTCCTCTCTCTTGAGGGGTGTCTTCTCTCTTTCTCTCTAGCGAGTGCATGCACCCTACAGCAAATTTTTTTAAAAAGTGTACACTTTGATCAATTTTGATCTGAAATCGTCATCACAAGGTCTCTGAGATTCTAATTTGATCTAGCTGAGGACACAGAGAAGGAAGGGAAGTATCTCCAGGCAAGTGACATCTTAAGTGAAATCTTTTTTTTTTTTTGGAGAGGTTTTTGCTATAGGACGCGTGCACTCGCCAGAGACGGAGAGACTTCAATTCACCGCGTGCGTGCCCAAGACCCCGAGAGGAGAATGGAGGAGAAAGGATTGCGGCGTGGCCATCACCCCCGTCTGTCTGTCTCTCTCTCTCTCATCTTTCTGGTGATCGTATGCGCCCTATAGGAAAAAGCTCTCCAACAGAAAAGAGAAGAAACCCTTAACCCCTACTCTAGACCTGCCGAATCAGAAGTTGTGGGGGCACGGCCCAGGAATCTAGATTTTCACAAGTTCGCCAAGTGATGATAAAGCTGAAGTAGGGCTAATCTCTGATCTATGAGGCCTGGCTTGCAGAGCTCGGTTTCCAAAGCAAGAGAACAGCAGAGCCCCGGAATACACGAGGCCAAGCCGGACCAAGTGGCCAGCACGCCCACCCTAGGGCACCCTTTCCGCCGGGAGGAGCGGCCGGACGGGGCGGGCCGGAGGCTGGCGTCCCCGCCTCCCAAGCTTTCGGCCCGCCGCGTAGCGCGATCCTCCTTCCTTTCCTTCCCTCTCCCTCCTTCCCTTCCTTCCTACTTTCCTTCCGCCGGGCGCGATGGAGCCTGGGCGCCAGGCGGCCGCGGCGCTGCTGGCGCTGCTGTGCGCCGGGTGCGCGCTGCGCTCGGGGCGCGCCCAGTACGAGCGCTACAGCTTCCGCAGCTTCCCGCGGGACGAGCTGATGCCGCTGGAGTCGGCCTACAGGCACGCGCTGGACCAGTACAGCGGCGAGCACTGGGCCGAGAGCGTGGGCTACCTGGAGATCAGCCTGCGGCTCCACCGCCTGCTGCGCGACAGCGAGGCCTTCTGCCACCGCAACTGCAGCGCGGCGCCCCAGCCCCAGCCCGACCCCGGCCTCGCCGGCTACCCCGAGCTGCGCCTCTTCGGGGGCCTGCTGCGCCGCGCTCAGTGCCTTAAACGCTGCAAGCAGGGCCTGCCAGCCTTCCGCCAGTCGCAGCCCAGCCGCGAGGTGCTGGCGGACTTCCAGCGCCGCGGGCCCCACAAGTTTCCGTTCGCCTACTTCAAGGCAAGTCAGCCCCAGCGGTGGCCGGCCTGCTCCTAGGCCCCGCCCCCTCCCCGCCCCCAGGGTCAGACACCGCCCCAGGACCAGGCCCCGCCCCTTCCCCGGGCGCAGGCCCCGCCTCCGCGCCCCGGCCGCCGGCCCCGCCCTTCCTTGACTGGCTCTTTGCCACTCACCCCTGCAGAAGGGTTACCTGCAAATCCTGCTCCTCCTTCTTGGTCTTAAGCAGAGAGGAAAATACCTTGTTGAAGGGTTGTTGTAAACCGGAGAGTTTGTGCCTAGAACGCCCCACAGTGTCTGGCACCCAACAAAGTTCCAGATAAATGTCACCTGTTAGTTGCGGGCGGGCCCCGCTTTCTTGAATGTACTAGTGAAATTGTCTTGCTTTCAAGGGAGTGGTGACTTAGGATAATAAAGCGGAAGAGGACCTGCGCTACCAGTCACCTTCTAGAAGGCAGCAGGTGACGCCGGGGAAGGGCAGAGGCTGTGCCCTGTGGACACGTCCTTGCCTAGATGAGAACTCATGCACCGTGACTCATCGGGATTGGGGCTCAGAGCTCTCTCTCAATCTAACACAATTCAGTGCCTTCTTCTGATGGCTGCTGAAATTCGGTCTGTGATTGCTGGCCAAAAGTAGCCTCAAATTGCAGTTCTCTTTCCTTTGAGTCTTCTTGGACCCACAAGTTTTAAAAATGGGTTGAATTCTCTGTTACTGGACAAACAGCCTTTAGCTTTGTGGGTCTGCTCAGAGTTTGGCTACGTAGCCAAAAGCTCAATTTCTACTTTCTCTGGTTGAAAAAGATTTTTAAAAGGAATATGTTGCATTTATTTTTTTTTTTAATTTTAAAATAATTATTTTATTTATTCATTTATTTTTAATTTGACAGAGAGAGACATAGAGAGAGCGAGAGAGGGGAAGTGAGAAAGCAAGCCACCAGGTCCAGGACACGAACCGTTGTCGGCCATGTGGGAATGTCTAGTGCCTTGACAACCAGACCACCTACTGGTCCCATTTTAAAATATTTTTAAAAGAATTTTTAAAAAATTATTTTAACTTTATTTATTTAAATTTGACCAGAGAGGGACAGAGTGAGAGAGAGAGGGAAAGTGACAAAGCAAGCTGCCAGGTCCGGACTCGAACCACAGTCGGCCATGTGAGAGTCCAGCGCCCTTAACCACCATGCCACCTGCCAGCCCCACTGCATTTATTTTAATAAGTAGGAAAGTAGATTCATGCTGAATCCTGGACTCTGAATGTACTTTGATTTTATTTTTTTTAAGTTTATTTATTTACTCCATGAGAGACAGTGAAAGACAAGTGCCCCCAAATGGGATCTCAGGCTGAAATCCCTCCGCCCCAGCCTTCCAGCCAGCCAGATCCAGGTGCCTGGACCCGGAGGGCACTACCTCCGCGGAAGTGCACCCTGACCTCTCATGTGTTTCCAGCATTGCAGCCAGAGCTACTGCCGTGCCGACTGGCTGGGCTTGGATTTGTTTTGTTAACTGTTTTGTGGCTAGACTTGGTCTTATTTTTTAAACTTTGTTTTGAATCTTCGGAGAGCACAACTTATTTTTCACATTCTGGGAGACAGAACCACACATCAAATAATATAAAACCCTAAGTAGGAGAACAGCTGGGTTATTTCAGTTTTATATAAAGTATCAGTTTTATGTGTTGGATTAGCAATTTTTAAAAAACGTTTTAAATAGCACCTAGGGATGAGATTAATAAAAATCTCAGAAGGTTTTGAACCAGAGGACTGGTTCATACAATCACTATTTTTTTTTAAAGAATTATTTTATTTTAACTTTATTTATTATTATCATTATTATTTTCCAGTTTGATCAGAGAGAGACAGAGAGAGAGAGGAAGTGAGAAAGCAAGCCACCAGGTCCGAGACTTGAACCGTGGTCGGCCATGTGGGAGTCCAGTGCCATTAACCACCATGCCACTTGCCGGCCCCCACAATCACTATTTTTTAAGCTTAAAAAAAAAAAAGAAAAGAAAATCACTTGCCTAGAGGCCAGCAGGTGGCATGGTGGTTAAGGTGCTGGACTCCCACATGGTCGACCACAGTTCGAGTCCTGGACCTGGTGGTGTACATTCTTACTTTCTGTTTCTCAGTCTTTCTCTAGTGAGCACGCATGCCCTATAGCAAAAATTTAAAAATAACAGTAATTAGGGACCAGCAGATGGTGTAATGCTTACTTCATTGGATTCTCACATAGTCAACCGCGGTTGGAATCCTGGACCTGGTAGCTTAAAACTCACACCAGGTGAGTGTGTGTGTGTGTGTGTGTGTGTGTGTGTGTGTGTGCCCAAAATCCCTAGAGGAGAATGAAGGAGAAGAGATAGCCATGTGGCCATCCCCCCCTTGTGGGCTGATTTCTCACTTTCTGTCTGTCTCTGTCCAGTGAGTGCATATGCCCCAGAGCAAAAGAAAACTCTTTAAGAAAAAAAAAATTTAAATAAAATAAGAAATACTTGTCTAATTTTTTTGGATAACTTTTGGCAAATACTGTCTAAACCAAATTTGAGTCATGTAATCAAGGTGGAAACATTTATTTTTGAACCTGGAGAATATTGGAAATTCTTATTTTTTTTTTTTTTGAGAGATTTTTGCTATAAGGCATATGTGTTCGCCAGAAAGACAGAGAGAGATAGAGAGACAGAAAGTGAGAAATCACCCCCGAGGGGGGATGGCCACACTGCAATCCCTCCTCCTCCATTCTCCTCTCGGGATCTTGGGCATGCATGCACACACGCCCGGTGTGAGTTTAAGCCACCGAATCTGGGACTTGAACTGCGGTCGACTACGTGGGAGTCCAGCATAGCCATTACGCCAACTGCTGGTCCCGTGCCTGGTATAAGTTTATTTATTTATTTTTTTACTCTAGGGCACGTGTGCTTGGCAGAAAGACAGAGAGAGACAGAGAGAGAGAAAGTGAGAAATCACCCCCCAGGGGGAATGGCCACGCTGCAATCCCTTCTCCATTCTCCTCTTGGGATCTTGGGCATGCACGTACACACACCCGGCGTAAGTTTTAAACCACTGGGTCTGGGACTTAAACCATAGTCCACTGCATGGGAGTCCAGCGACATAGCCATTACGCCACCTGCTTGTCCCCCATGCCTGGTGTAAGTTTTAAGCAGCTGGATCTGGGACTTGAACTGCAGTCACCATTACGTCATCTGCTGGTCCTCCCACAGATTTGTTTAAGTATGCGCCTACATTCTACCTGGCACTAGAGGGCCGAAGATAGATGGTGTCGCCTGCTGGGGCAGGACTTGGGTACATGTCCCTGGGATAGTCTTCTCAGGTTCCCATCTCTGTGATCAAGGACCATTGCTTGCGTGGGCCACAGGAATACGGATGGCGGGTTGGACTGCAGAGTGAGGCGAGGAGGCTGGGGAGTGTGATCTGGCAGAAAAGGGGTGATGCTTCTGACGCATTGGCCTGGAGCCCACACAGCTTTCCTGCTGCCAGCCACCCTGAGGCCCTCCGCACTAGCTGTGGCTTCTCCCTGGCTGCCATCTTCAATGAATGGTCATCTTCCCATAGGCTCAGAAAAAAGGGCTCTACACTTCCCATCCTCTCCCCTGCTTCAGTTGTGGGTGGTTTGAGCAGTGGAAAGGCAAACCCTCAGAGCACTCTGAAGACGGCCTCTTTCCATTGTGTTTCAGCAAGGGTTAACATGACATCTTTTTTTTTTTTTTTTTGAGAGAGATTTTTGCTGTAGGGCGCATGCGCTCACTGGAGAGCCAGAGAGACCCAGTGATCCAGAAAGTGAGCAATCACCCCCCGGGGGGATGGTCATGCCACAATCCCTTCTCCTCCATTCTCCTCTGGGATCTTGGGCACGTATCTACACACGCCCAGTGTGTTTTAAGCTGCTAGATCCGGGACTCAAACTGCGGTTGACTACGTGGGAGTCCAGCAACATACCTATTATGCCATGCTGGTCCCAACCTCATCTTTAATTTTTAGAGAATCACCTAATGAAGGGTCTCATGGCTTCCAGAGGTTAACGGTTCAGACAGTGTTAGGGTGTCCGGCCAAAACTCCTAGGCTCTGCCACCAGCAACCTTGGAACTTCCAGAAAGTGGTAGAGTGATCCTGGGAAGGGTCTGCACCCTCAAAGGTCTCTGACTCAGAGGTTGATCTCCCGAGCTGGGCACCTGGGTGGATGGAGGCTGTGGGGACTGGCATCAACCATTCGGTAGATGGCTGTGGCTCTTCGGGTGTAACGGGGTGTCAGGGTCCTGGTAAGGTGGCATGTCACAAGCAGTCCCTGCAAAGAAGCCCGAGAGAGATGGAAGACTGTTCCTGGTTGAACTCTAGGCTGTCCCAGGAGAGCTTGACAGGTCAGGACAGAAAGGGAACGTCTAGGGTCCGGAATATACTGAGCACGCTGCTGGCGGCCTCTCTCACATCCTCAGTGGCTGCTGTGCTCCGGGCTGGACAGAGCTGGCCTGTGCCCAAGGCCTCTCCCCGACCCCTTGCCTGGACAAAGACTCTCTCTGATCTCCCCAGAACCACAGTGCCTGTCTCTGCATGAAGACTGATGTAGGGTGCTCACTGGGCAGGTAGCTGTCAGGAACCCCTGGCAGGTGGGTGCTGACCACCTTCTCCCCAGCCAGCGTGGAATCTGCTGGGTGCCTGGCTGCCCAGATGTGTCTCCATGTTCCAGCCGACAGAGCCCGAGTGGAAGTAAATAAAACCTCTCTTTCCTCTTTAGATTTTGTAAAGCTCAATCCTAAGTTAGAGGCCTTAAAAACCCCACTCAGTGCCCCTGTTTTTAAGCGATCTTCTGAGTAGTCTAATTTCATTGGCGAATGCTTTAAAAAGGCTGCATTCATACCCTGTTCCTTCCTTCCAGCTGCCAGTCTAGCCCCTTTCCGGTCAGGGTCATAAAGATTTCTGTAGAGTTATTTCAAAGGCAGCCCCACTACAGGCCCCTAACCGGCATTCCCAACATATCAGCAGGGACATTTGCAGTCTGCCCTCACTGCCACCTTCTACTTCTTCAACGTACCAAGTGCCATTGTCTCATTCTGGGGCAGTTTGGTATGAATATGTGCTACTCTGTGATTCACGCGACAGAGAGGTATACCAGTAGCTCTTTATTTTCTCCAAATCTAAGTCCCGCGTCCCTTCCTCTGAGTGTCCCTCCGGATTGTCCAAAGGGGTCTCTAACACATGTATGGATGCCTGCCCTTCCCCCTACTGGATGGTGTCATAACACCAGGCTAACCCAGGACATTCTTTTTAATTTTAATTTTATTTTTTAGAGGTTTTTGCCATAGGGCGTATGTGTGCGCCAGAGGGTAAGAGAGAGACAGAGACAGTGAGAGGGAAAGTGAGAAATCGCCCTCTAGGGGGAATGGCCACGCTGCAGTTCCTTCTCTTCCATTCTCTTCCTGGGATCTTGGGCACATGTGCACACGTGCCCAGTGTGATTTTCAAGCCACTGGGACTGGGACTCAAACCTGGTTGGCCATATAGTAGTCCAGCAACATAACCACTGTGCCATCTGATGGCTCTGACATTTTCTTTTTCTTTTTTTGAGAGGTTTTTGCTATAAGGGCGCGTGTGCTCGCCAGAAAGACAGAGAGATAGAAAGCGAGAAATCACCCCCTAGGAGGGATGGCCATGCCACAATCCCTTCTTCTCCATTGTCCTCTCAGATTGTGGGCATGCATGCCCGGCATGAGTTTAAGCCACTGGGTCCGGGACTCGAACTGCGGTCGACTACATGGGAGTCCAGCGACATAGCCATTACACCAGCTGCTGGTCCCACGGACATTCTTTTTTATAAACATCACTGTTCAGCACCTATTGAGTAGTTTTTCTGTTCTTCTCTTCTTTTTTTTTTTTTTTTTAATAACAGAGAGCATTTCTGTGTGCATGCTCAGATGAGAAAGAAAGAGAAAGGAGCACCCCAGTAGGGTCTCTTCATGCCACTACCCCCTGGGAACCCTCTAGCTCTTTGGGATCGTGGGTGCCCACATGTGTGCCTGACAATTTTCAGGCCGACCTGCAAATCCAAACCCACATTCATGCACCTCCAGCACTGCAGTTCAGAGCTGGGCTGACTGTGCCACCAGGCTGGGCCTTCAAGGAGCTTTCACCTCTCTTCTTTGTACTTAGGCAAATAATCTCCCGAAAGCCATCGCGGCGGCTCACACCTTCCTACTGAAGCATCCCGACGATGAAATGATGAAGAGAAACATGGCGTATTACAAGAGCTTGCCCGGAGCCGAGGACTACATTAAGGACTTGGAAACCAAGTCGTACGAGGTATGTTCGAAATGTTTCCCCAATGGTTGGTGCGGCGTGTGTTGTTGAAGTGTGTTTCCATGACTAGCTATGGACCGCTAAGGCCTGCCAGTGGTTTTTGGTGACGTTTGATGAATGTTGTGATAATAGAAATGATTGGTGTTTAAGTACAAAGTTGAGCTGTTTACAGATACATTTTTACATTCTGAGATGGTTTCTTTTTAAAAACGAAAAACAACATGGGGTTCAGGACCAGCAGATAGATGGCAGAGTGGTTACAGCGCTGGATTCCCATGTAGTTGACCACAGTTTGAGTCCTGGATCTGGTGGCTTAAACACATACTGGGAGCATCTGTGTGTGTGCCCAAAATCCTGAGAAGAGAATGAAGAAGGGGTTGCGATGTGGCCATCCCCATGGGGGGTGAGATCTCCTTTTCTGTCTCTATCTCTCTGGCGAGTGCACACGCCCTATAGCAAAAATCTTTGTAGAAAGAAATTTAAATAAATAAATAAAATAAATTTAAATAAATTTAAAATAAACAAACAAAACAAAACAAAACACTGGATTTCACTATGTCACGATTTTCCTGCCTCAGGCTCCCGAGTAGCTGGGACCACAGGCATGCACCGTCACACCTGCTCCTAGAGTGGGCTAGGAATTGGACATCCGAGAACTCCTAGGGACTTTTGGTGATACTTGATGAATATTACAATAGAAATGATTATCTCTCTCTCTCTCTCTTTTTTTTTTTTTTTTTAAGGTTTTTATCAGGGTATGGAGGATGTACACTCATCAGGGAGAGCCAGAGAGAAAGAAAGTGAGAACTCACCCCCAAGGCAGTATGGCCATGCCACAATCCATTCTGCTCCACTCTCCTGTTGGGATTTTGGGTACACATACACACACACACAGACACACACGCACACACACACACACACACACGTACACGCATGCTCACACTAGGTGTGATTTTCAAGCTGCCGGGCCTGGGACTGAAACTGTAGTGGGCCATATAGGAATCTAGCTCCTTAACCACCACATCACCCTCTGGCCCTGAAGTAATTGACTTTCTAAGAATAAGTTTCTTAATTAAAAAAAATTTTTTTTCATTTGTCAGAATGTATGTGCACCTGAGAAAGAGAGTGTATGTAAGAGAGAGAAAATGAGAGGTAGGGAGGGTGAGAGAATGAAACAGAAAGAGAGAGAGAGAGAGAGAGAAAGCACCCCAAATGGGATCAATCTCTTCTCCTCTATTTCTCTATCTTGTTGAGACTCTGGGCACATGTGTTTTTCAAGCTGCCAGGGCCAGAATTTGAACCGTGATTCCCTTAACCACTGTGCTACTGCGCCAGCTCGAAGAATAAGGTTTTACAGTTCATGATAATTTTTTAAATTGTATTTATTTGTTTATCTATTTCTTATTTTAACTGCCAGACGGTGTGTGCACTTGCCAGAGAGAGAAGGGGAGACAGACTGGAAAAGAGAGAGACAGAGAGAGAGAGCGTCAGCCCCCTGAGCACGTGGGACCAGTCATGTGCCATTGTGCCTGCTTTTAGGGCGGCTGGGCTGCCCATGTGGCCTGCACCTGCTGAGTAGCAGCTTTGGCCAGCATGGTGATTTCTTTTGTTTTTTTGAGAGAAAGGTTTTTTGCTATGGGGTACATGCACTTGCCAGAAAGACAGAGAGAGCCAGAGAGACAGAAAGTGAGAAATCACCCCCCAAGTGGGGATGGCCACGCCACAACCCCTTCTTCTCCATTCTCTTCTTGGGATCTTGGGCACGCACACACACACGCCCGGCGTGAGTTTAAGCCACCGGGTCCAGGACTCGAACCATAGTCAACTACATGTGAGCCCAGCAACATAGCCATTATGCCAACTGCTGGTCCTCAGCATGGTGATTTTAAAGCCACCTTTCCTTTTAATGCTACATTTCAGAAATAATGATTATTTGGGGCCAGCAGGTGGCATGGTGGTTAAAGTACTGGACATTCCCACATGGCCGATCACAGTTCGAGTCCTATACCTTGTGGCTTTCTTTCTCCCTTTCCCTCTTTCTCTTGCTGTGTTTCTCTCTGCTCAAATTAAAATAAATGAATGAATAAATAAGGTTAATTAAAAAAAAAAGAAAGAATGGCTATTTGATCATTCCATTTTAAGAGGGTGAAGACATGTCTTGGAAATCATTCAGAAATGAGCAGGTACACAAGAAGTAGAACTGTAAATCTCCATTTTTGAGCAAACTAGGAAACATATATTTTTAGACAAGCCACTTCCTCAGTCCTAGCTGTTTCTGTTTTATGTGGCCCAATCAACAATTAGAAGAAAGCCTTTGAAGTTTCCATCCTCAGACACACAGTCACCCTTCCCAGTCACAGTGCTAATGCATGACATCCCCTTTTCTTTCTTTTAAGAAATACTCATTTATTTGTTTGTTTGCCAGAGGCACATCCACTTGTAAGAGAGAGACAGAGAGACAGAAGGAGAGGGAGGAAGCACTCTTCAGTGGGGCATGGTCACAGTGTGGTCCCTTCTCCTCCATTTCTCCACCCTGTCGGGATTCTGGGCACCCCCCCACACACAGGCCTGGCATTTTTTTTTTTTCTTTTTTTTTTTTTTTGGAGAGATTTGCACTGTAGGGCGCGTGCGCTCGCCAGACAGACAGAGAGAGACAGAGAGACAGAAGGAGAGGGAGGAAGCACTCTTCAGTGGGGCATGGTCACAGTGTGGTCCCTTCTCCTCCATTCTCCTCTCGGGATCTTGGGCACGCACGCACACGCGCCCGGCGTGAGTTTTAAGCCACCGGGTCCGGGACACGAACCGCGGTCGACTACGTGGGAGTCCAGCGACATAGCCATTACGCTAACTGCTGGTTCCCAGGCCTGGCATGTTTTTCAAGGGCCGGGATTCAAACCATGTGGCTAGTCATGTGGAATTCAGCTACCTTAACCACCCAAGTGCTGGCCAGTAGTCCTATTTCCTGCTTCACTGTTGGAGGCAGTGGGATGTCAGTCACTTTCAATCTTACATCTTCTCCTTAAATATAAATATAAATATATATATACATGCACACTATATATATTTTTTTGGGGGGGGAGGTTTTCTTTTTTTTTTGCTACAGGACACGTGTGCTCGTCAGAAAGACAGACAGAGACAGAGAGACAGAAAGCGAGAAATCACTCCTCAGGGGGGATGGCCACACCACAATCCCTTCTCCTCCATTCTCCTCTCAGGATCCTGGGCACGCACGCACATGCGTCTGGCCAGAGTTTTAAGCCACTGGGTCCGGGACACGAACCACGGTCGACTATGTGGCAGTCCAGCGACATAGCCATTACGCTAACTGCTGGCCCCTTTTTAAAAGATTTTTGCCATAAGGCACATGGACTTGCACACAGGACACATGTGAGAAAGTGAGAAATCACCCTCCAGAGGGAATGGCCACCCCACAGCCCCTTCTCCTCCATTCTCCTCTTGGGATTTTTGGCACACATACACATGTATGTAGCTGGTGTGTTTGTCAATCTGCTGGGTCAGGGACTTGAATTGTACAGTCAGCCATATGGGATCCAGCCACCTTAGCCACCACAGTCCAGGCTGGCCCCTTTAATGGTTGTTTTTAGTTTATTTATTTCTTTGCTGAATACAAGAGAGAGAGAAACTGCAACAGAGTACTAGCACCTCAGTCCATCCCTAGCCTTCAACTGGCCCACCTGGCAAGTGTGTGCACCGTGTACTCTGGGGAGGGGTCTCTGGACTTGAACTGGGAACCGTCCCAAGTGGGATTGCCTTGCAGAACATTAGATTTTATCACTGTGCCACTGTCCAGCCCCTGGATTCCTTTGCAGTGGACATGTCTGTCTCCCTTCATGCCCAGAGCCAACTTCCCCAGCTCCCTCTGCTTTTCAGAGCCTGTTCGTCCGAGCAGTGCGGGCGTACAATGGCGAAAACTGGAGAACCTCCATCACCGACATGGAGCTGGCCCTTCCTGACTTCTTCAAAGCCTTTTACGAGTGTCTTGCATCCTGTGAGGGCTCCAGGGAGATCAAGGACTTCAAGGACTTCTACCTTTCCATAGCAGGTTGGTGCTGGAGGTAAACGGTCCTAGAGGGAAATGGGATGGCTCCCCGTCTGGAAGCTGTCTTCCGTAGACGTGTGCTCTGTCTGCATACCGCCAGGTGCCTGGAGTGGCTCTGAGGAACTTATATTTTTAATAGCCAGAAGGCATGTGTACTCACTAGAGAGAGACAGAGAAAGAGGGAGAGAGAGAAAGCATCCCCTCCCCGCCCCAGTGGAGTGTGGTCATGCTGCAAACCCTTCTCCATTTCTTCATCCTGTTAGGATTTTGAACACATACGCCTGAAATATTTTACAAACTCCCAGGCTGGGATTCAGACTGCAGTCGGCCATGTGGGATCCAGCTCTCTTAACCACTAGGCTATGGGGCCAGCCTTCTGGAAACTTTAAACTTAAACATTCAGGACCAATGAGCCTTCACCTGGCAGGGCCTTCTGGCCAAAGAGCTGAGAGTTGGTTCAAGCGCAGTCTCGCAGGGGAAGCCCATCACGTCAGCTCTGCTCAATTACAGGTTTTCCACAGGCTTTTGGAAAAATGCACATGGGCCCTAGAGCAACTCAGGGACTCGTGTTAATGAGCTAACTTTGATTATGGGGATTTTCCAGCACACACAGAGGTATTAGGTCATCGGGGAAGTCATGCCGCATTTTTTGTTCTTCTATGCAAAAATGCATCATGACTTTCTTGATGACCCAATAGACTGAATAACGTAATAAACCTTTAAGTAATCATTACTAAGGTCGCTTTTTGAAATTGTCTTTTCTTTATTATTGTTATTTTTAAATAATAGGGTATGCGTGCTTGCTGAAGAGAGACACGGAGAGGGATCGTGAGAAATCACCCCCCAGAGGGGATGACCACGCTGCAATCCTTTTTCCTCTATGCTCGTCTTTGGATTTTGGGCACACACACATGTGCCTGGTGGCTTGAAAATCATGGGACTCTTAGAAGCAGCAGTTAGCGTAATGGCTATGTTGCTGGACTCCCACGTAGTCGACCGCGGTTCGCGTCCAGGACCCAGTGGCTTAAAACTTACGCCGGGCGCGTGTGCGTGCGTGCCCAAGATCCTGAGAGGAGAATGGAGGAGAAGGGATTGCGGTGTGACCATCCCCCCTGGGGGGTGATTTCTCGCTTTCTGTCTCTATGTCTCTCTCTGTCTGTCTGGCGACCGCACGTGCCCTCTAGTGAAAATTTCTCCCCCCCCCAAAAAAAAAAATCATGGGACTCTTGGGGCCAGCAGGTGGCATGGTGGTTAAGGCTCTGGACACTCCCACATGGCCGACCACAGTTTGAGTCCCAGACCTGATGGCTTACTTTCTCACTTTCTCTTTTCCCTCTCTCTCTTTCTCTATCTCTCTCTGGTCAAATTAAAATAAGTGAATGAATCAATAAAATGAAATAAATAATTTTTTTTTAAAAGAAAATCATGGGACTCTTAACTGTGCAGTCGACCATGTGGGATCAGGCTGCCTCCGACACCATGCCACCAACTTTCTTTCTTTTCACGTTGCCGGAGAATGCACTTGCTAGAGAGAGACAGGAGGGGGTTCCCAATCCAGTGTAAGTTTTAAGCCACTGGGTCCGACGAAAACCATGGCCAGTCATATGCTACCTGTTGGCCCAGGCTTTTTTTTTTTTTTTTTTTGTAAGTTTGAAAATATTTTTTTAATGTCTATGGAGGTAGCATTACTAGTTTAAAAAGTTGTGATCAGCAGTTGGTGTAATGGCTATGTCACTGGAACTCCCATGTAGTCAACCGCAGTTTGAGTCCCGGACCCGTGGCTTAAACTCATGCCGGTTGCGTGTGCATGCATGCCCAAGATCCCGAGAGGAGAGTGAAGGAGAAGGGATCGTAGCATGGCCATCTCCCCTTGGGGGGGGGGTGATTTCTCGCTTTCTGTCTCTCTGTGTCTCTCTGTCTTTCTGGTGAGCGCACATGCCCTATAGCAAAAACCTCTCCAAAAAAGAAAAAAAGAGAGAGAGAAAAAGTTTATATACATCATTTATTTATTTATTTATTTATTTATTTATTTATTTTTCAGGTTTTGCTATAGGGTGTGTATGTTCAGAGAGAGACAGAGAAAGAGAGAGGGAAAGTGAGAAATCACCTCCCAGTGGCGATGGCCACGCCACCATCTCTTCTTCTCTAGTCTCTTCTCAGGATGTTGGGAACACATGTACATGTACCTGGCGTGATTTTTAAGCTGCTTGATCTGGGATTTGAACCATGCAAATTCGAAGGAAGGTCAGGTCGTTCTGTGGGTTGATTTCACGCACAGTGCTCTGTGCCTTTGGGATGAAGTTGTGCGTGAGGTTGGTGTACTGTGTGGTGGTGGGGTTGTCCATGGTGCTCTTGATGGGAGTGCCTTCTGTGTTCACCACGATGAGTCCCTGCACTCCTTTCTGACTCTGAAGTCGCTTTAGTGTCTCCTCCACCTCTGCCATCTTGGACTGACGGGAGCTCCGCATCGCCGACACAGCCCAGGCCCCCTGCTTTTCTCTTCATTTATTTTTATTTGATGAGAGAGAGGCAGAGAGAGATAGAGGGACAGAGAGAGTGAGAAAGCAAGCTGCCAGGTCTGGGACTCAAACCATGGTCGGCCATGTGGGAGTTTGGTGCCCTGAACCACCGTGCCATCTGTTGGCCCCAACCACTCCATGTTTTCTAAAAGGCCTAGAGAACATACATATTCTTCCTCTTTTCTCTGTGCTCGTCATTTCGGTTAATTACTGGAAGATGGCCAAAAGGCCACCTTATTCTCTTTTAAAGACTGTATAGATTATCTTGTTCATATGTACTATAATTTATTTATTTATTTTAAGACTATGTATTTATTTATTTATTTTTGCCAGCTGTTGGCATGGTGATTAGGGTTTCTGGATCCCACATGTGAGTCCTGAACCTGGCAACTTCAAAAAGATGCCAGGCATATGAGCTTGCGTACCCAAAATCCCAATAGGAGGGAGAGATGGAGGAGATGGGATTGCAGTGTGACCATGCCCCATGGGGGTGCAGGTGTGGTGGTTAAGGACGCTGGACTCCCACATGGCTGACCGTGGTTCGAGTCCCAGACCTGGAGGCTTGCTTTCTCACTTTCCCTCTCTCTCTTACTCTGTCCCTCTCTTATCAAAAAAAAAAAAAAAAAAAAGTTAAATAAAATAATTCTTAAAAAAAGAAGAAAAAAAAAAAACCTCTCCAAAAAACAAAAGAAGAAGAAGAAAGTAGTGAATGCGGTGCTCTGAAAATTTCCGTGTGTTTTCTCAGATCACTACATAGAAGTTCTGCAATGCAAGATACAGTGTGAAGAGAACCTCACTCCTGTCATAGGAGGCTATCCGGTTGAGAAGTTTGTGGCAACCATGTACCATTATCTACAGTTTGCTTATTATAAGTGTAAGTACTCTTCTGTGAGCGCTTGGGCGAGGTACTTAGTGCTTCTAAGACTCCGCTTTCCCGTCTGTAACAGAGGTAACCCTCACCTATGGTTGAGAGCCTCCGTGGGCCATGGCCCTGTGAATAGTGCACGCCTCACAGCTGTTTTCGAGTTGTCATTACAAGAAATAACCGCTGGGTGGCACGATTTATTTATACTCAAGCTTTGGCTACTCCTGCCAACCAAACCTTTAGTAATGTAGGGTTCCTAACTTGTAAATGGGGGTGGAATGTGCCAGAATAAATACCCAGAGGCTGTGTCTTATTCTCTCTACCTCTCCCCATATCTGCAAGGCAAATCCCAAGGGAGATGGCAAGACCAGGTGACTTTCCAGATCTCTTCCAGCAGAAAGGTCTCCAGTCCCCTGAGTGTCCCAGGTCTGGTTTAACCATAGGAGAGCCTGCCTATGTCTGGAGGCCATAGTGCCATTCAGACAGGGTTTAGGCACTGAAGGCCCTGATCAGCACGTCCACCCTCCCTCCCTCAGCCCCAGGACAGCCCAGCCCATGGCATGTAACCTTCCCCAACTCGAGGGGCCAACTAGCTCTGGTCACCAGACCCTGAGTAGAAATGGACATTTCTTCCTTTTTTTATTTTTAAAGAATTATTTAACTTTATTTATTTATATGTTTATTTATTTTAATTTGACTAGAGGGACAGAGTAAGAGAGAGAGAGGAGGGAAGTGAGAAAGCAAGTCGCCAGGCCCGGGACTCAAACCGCAGTCAGCCATGTGGGGGTTCAGTGCCCTTAACCACCACGTCACTTGCTGGCTCTGAGAAATGGGCATTTCTGCAAGGGCACCTGGCTGACAGGCACCTTCCATGTTGGAAACTGGCCTGCTGGCTTCTACGGAGCCTGTCTGAGCTGCCCCTCGAGGCTGATTCTGGTCAGTCAGGCTTTCTGAAGAAGAAATGCAGAGAAGAGGCTTGTTTATGACTTTTTTTTTGGCTTTCTTTTAGCATATTTTTATTGTGGGTGTGGGTGCTTGCCAGAGACAGAGAGGGAGGTGGAGAAGGTGTCCCCCCATGGGGAATGGCCATGCCGTAATCCCTTCTCCGCCATGTCATCCTGTTGAGATTCAGAGCACACATGTCCATGGGCCCAGCGTGTTTTTTAAGTTGCTAGAGCTGAGATTCGAACCATGGTCGGCCACGTGGGCTCCAGCTCCTCTACGGGGCCGACCCTCATGACCATTTTCCTCAGGACGCTGAGCTTCAGGAAGAGGGGCTGCTGGAGGGCTGCAGGGCACAGTCTGCTGGTTTCCTCCATCCTGTTTTTCCCTGTCCAGTGAATGACCTGGAGAACGCGGCCCCGTGTGCGGTCAGTTACCTGCTCTTTGACCCGAGCGACAAGGTCATGCAGCAGAACCTGGTGTATTACCAGTACCACAGGGACAAGTGGGGACTCTCGGACGAGCACTTCCAGCCCAGACCGGTAAGGGCCTTCCTCTTCCTCCCTCGCACTCTTGCTTTCCGGGGCCTGCCTTGCCCTGAAGAGAAATGGAAGAAAACTCACTTTTTTTCCTGTCGATGTTGTCCTTTATCATTTTACTGCTTTATTCTGACTTTGGAATCCCTAAAACCTACAGAGTGCAAGCACTGCAGAATTATTTTATTTAGAAAGTGAAATTCTTGGGCCAGCTCTGTAGCTTAGTGGTTAAGTGCGGTGCACCGAAAGCTGGATCCCGCGTGGCTGACTGTGGTTTGGATCTCAGACCTGGCAGCTTGAAAAACATACCAGGTGTGTGTGTTGGGGGGCTGGGGGGGGCTCCAAATCCTGATGAGATGAAGAAATGAAGGAAAAGGATTGAGGCATAACCATGCCCCATCAAAGGGTCCTCTTTCTTTCTCTCTCTGGTGAGTGCATGTGCCAACTGACAATAAAAAAAAATTATTAAAAAGTGAAATTCTCAAGGCCAGCAGGTGGTCTAGTGGTTAAGGCGTTGGACTCCCATATGGCCGACTGCGGCTCAAATCCTGGACCCAGCAGCTTGAAACTCACACTGGGCACATGTGCGTGCGTGCGTGCCCAAAATTGCAAGAGGAGAACGGAAGACAAGGGACTGCAGCGTGGCCATCCCCCTTGTGGGTGATGATTTCTTGCTTTCTGGCTCTCTGTCTCTCTCTGTCTCTCTGGTGAGTGTACACTCCCTATGGCAAAAATCTCTCAAAAAAATAAGTAAATTCTCAGGCTAGCAGGTAGTGTGGTGGTTAAGGCACTGGATCCCACATGGCTGACTGCACCATTAGGTCTGGACCTGGCAGTTTGAATAGCACTCCGGGTACACATGTATGCATTCCCAAAATTCTGAGAGGAGAATGGAAGAGAAAAGATCATTGTGTGAGCATCCCTCCTATGGGATGATTTCTTACTTTCCCTCTCTCTGTCTCTTTGTGTTGAGTATATACACCCTTTAGCAAATTAAAAAAAGAAAAGGAAATAATCTCTCAACATTTTTATTCTCTGTTTTATAGCTATACATTTTCTTGCATGAAGGGACTTCAAAAAGTTTATGGAAATATAGAATTAAAATGCAAATTTATCTTTTTTTTTTTTTTTGGAGAGGTTTTTCACTATAGGGCGCATGCGCTCGCCAGACAGACAGAGACATAGAGACAGAAAGCGAGAAATTACCCCCCAGGGGGGATGGTCACGCCGCAGTCCCTTCTTCATTCTCCTCTTAGGATCTTGGGCACGCACACACACGCGCCCGGCGTGAGTTTTAAGCCACCGGGTCCGGGACGCAAACCGCGGTCGACTACGTGGGAGTCCAGCGACATAGCCATTACGCTAACTGCTGGTTCCCTCCATTATTATTTTTTAACAGCTTCATGGTAGGGCTCTTTTGTGGATGGAATATCATTTAATTCCTTGGTGGAAAAACTCAATGCTTTGTGTGTGTTCTCAGGAGACACCATTACTTATAATATTACTTTCAAAAGATCTTTTCTAATTCATCTTTGCCCATAAGTTATATTTTCATGGAGATTTCTATATTTTGTCCTGGGTTGTCATAAATAGCTCTTCCTCCACATCTTGCCCTCCCTACCTACATAAATACCTACACAAATTCTCATTCACATGGGGTTGGCCACTTTTTAAAATTGGGTATAATTTATATACCACAGTGTTTACCTTTTTAAAAAGTGTACAATTCAGTGGTCATTAGTATATCCACAGAGCTGGACAGCTGTCACCCCTATCTAATTTTAGACATTTTCATCACCCTAGAAAGAAATCCTACACCCTGTCCCCCAGTTCTCACTCGGAAGGCTGGCCGCGTAAGCTGTTCTCTGTTTGGTCTGACAGGAAGCAGTGCAGTTCTTCAACGTGACCACACTCCAGAAAGAGCTGAATGAGTTTGCTAAGGAAAACATCGTGGATGATGATGAGGTAAGTTTTCATGCTTAGCACACGTCTGGCGAGGAGAAAATGTAACCAAAATCGCTGGCAGGCCACGCCGTCTCTGAAATAAGAAACAGAAGGGGACCTTGAGCGAGGAGACCATTGCTGTGGGCGTCTTAATGAGAGTCAGAACGACTTTCTAGGAAAGCCAGGCCGAGGCCACCTTCCCTGATAGCGAAATGCAGATGGAGTGATGCTCCAGGAATCCAGGTGCTATCCAGCCCTCTTTTGCTTTTCTTTCCTTAGAGAGGGTCTCTTTTTTTTCTTTCTTTCTTTCTTTCTTTTTTTTTTTTTTTTTTTGAGAGAAATTTTTACTATAGGGTGCATGCACTCACCAGAAAGACAGAGAGAAACAGAGAGACAGAAAGCGAGAAATCACCCCCCACCAGGGGGATGGCCATGCCACAATCCCTTCTCCTCCATTCTCCTCTCGGGATCTTGGGCACACACGCACACACGCCCGTCAAGTTAATTTTTAAAAAGTGTGTGCACATTTGTGAAAGTTTGCACATTGGTTAAAAATGTGCAGAGGGCCGATTGTATTTTCAGAAATGTTATAAAGCAGGCTGAGGGCTGGCTGTGTAGCTCAGTGGTTAAATGCTGTGCGTTGAGAGCTGGATACCACATGACCAGTCGTGGTTCGAGTCCTGGCTCCAGCAGCCTGAAATCCATGCAGAGGGCACATGCTTGCTCAGCATCCTGATGAGTGGGAGAAATGGAGGAGAAGGGATTGCAGCACAAGTACACCCCATTGGGGGATGCTTTCCCTCTCTCCCTCTACCTCTCTCTCTACCTCTCTCTGGCAATAGGTGTATCCTTGGGCAATAACTTTTTTTTTTTTTTTAATTAATAAAAAGGAAGTGGGTTGAAACTGATGCTTCAGGTTTCAGGTTCTGATGGTCGTTTGCTTCAGGAGAGTCTAAAAGAAACGGACCATAATTTGCTGGGGCGGTTTATTGAGGCTGTGCGCTCAAGTAGGAAAGGAGAGAGGGACCCAGGAAGGAGCTGAGCAGAGAGAAGGCCCCAGAAGCCTTCAGGCCCAGCCCAATATCCTGGGGAATTCTGAGCGTGACTTGCACCCCAGAATTGTACCCGCCTTTGTAGTCCCCCTCCCCCTCTCATTGGTTATTGGCTGCCAGGACAGGTTGGTGTGTCGCCTCCCCGGTAAGGCCACTCCTTTGATCCAGGGCAGTTGCCCAGAGAAGAGGCACCGTCGCTATGAGCAGCCGGCCTGAGCGCAGGGGCGTGGGTGTGCCTGAGCCGGGATCTGAGAGGAACCGGCAGGGAGTGGATTCCGTCCCTCTAGTGCCTAGGATACGTGATTAGCGACTAGAGAGCTAAAAGGAAACTGTCCTCATCCCCTGCACAGCAGTCGCACAGCAGGGAACAGTAACTCGCTGAACAGATGTGGTGGCCGCCCATGGACGGCCTCCGTGTTTTCCTGTAGGGTCCAGAAAGCAACCAAACCACAGCTTTTTTTGTTTTCTTTCTTTTTTTTTTTTTTTTTGGGGAGGAGGTTTGTTTTATGGGGGAGAGGTTTTTGCTATAGGGCCTGTGTTCTCGCCAGAAAGACAGAGAGACAGAGAGACAGAAAGCAAGAAATCATCCCCCCAGGGGGGATGACCATGCTGCAAACCCTTCTCCTCCATTCTCCTCTTGGGATCTTGGGCACGCACGCACACATGCCCTGGGACTCGAACCATAGTCGAGTACATGGGAATCAAACAACATAGCCATTACACCAACTGCTGGTCCCGAAACTTTTTGCTATAGGGCATGTGTGCTCACGGGAGAAACAGAGAGAGAGAGAGACAGAAAATGAGAAATTACCCCCTAGGGGGATGGCCACCCATAGCTGCAATCCCTTCTCCTCCATTCTCCAATCAGGATTTTGGGCATGCATGCACTTGGGCCTGGTGTGAGTTTTAAACCACTGGGTCTGGGCCTCAAACTGCAGTCGACTGTGTGGGAGTCCAGTGACGTAACCATTGTACCATCTACTAGTACTCCTGATGTGACTTTCAAACTGCCAGGGCATGGTCAGCCACGTAGGATCCAGTTCCCTTAACGACTATGCCATAGGGCTGGTCCCTGGGCTGCTTCAGGTAGAGGTTTAGGGCTGATTGCAGAAGGAGGGAGTCTGGTGGTTTCCATTGTCCCCAAGAGTCTCTCTTTGACTCTTGGCCTCAACCGCACCAGCAGCGTGACACATGCACGCCAGTGTCATCCTTTAACACGTTTATTGAGAAAGTCCTGTATGCCATGCTCTGGGGAAATTAAAAATCCACTCAGACTCTGGTCCTTGAGAAGCTCGTGGTCTGGGCCAGCTGGTGGGGTGGTAGTAAAGGTGGGTCCCACATGGCCAACTGCACAGTTCAAGTCCCAGACATGGTGGCTTGAGAAACACAACAGGCACATATATGTATATGCCCAGAATCCCCAAAGAAGGGAGAAATGGAGACGAAGGGATTATGGCATGATCATGCTCCCTAGGGGATGCTTTTTCATTTTCCCTCCCTCTCTGCCTCTTGAATGAGGACACACATCTTCTGGCAAATTGAAAAAAGAAGAAGAAGAAAGAAAGAAAAGTCTGTGGACTGGTGATTGAGGCTGAAAGGGAATGGAAAGTGTTCTGGTGAGAGAACTGCAAATGGGAGAAGAAAGGGAGAGACGCACAGAGGAGGGGGCACTACGTGGGGCCTCTAAGAGGGTGGCTGATGGTCTCTCCACACAGGCGATCTGTGGGGGCCGCCGAGCACTCGACACCAAGTTCATGTGAAGTAAAAGCTACGGTCCCCTCCATGGGGCAGTCAGGTCCTCTGGGCCCTGGCAGTGGAGAAAACCTTCTGCCCATGGGGACAGCTGGCAGCGGCCTCGTGGAAGCCGACTCTGCGTACTGGAACTTTCCCTGCCCGGCAGCCACCTAATAGGTGTCCTGTTGTCTCTTACAGGGGGAGGTCGTGGAATACGTGGATGACCTCTTGGAACTGGAGGAGACCAGCTAGACCACCACCACCAGAGGCTTCCTCTTGATGTTCAGGAAACAGAGTCTTTGTCCCCCCTTCTCCAATAGCCCGGGCGTTGCTTTCTCAGAGCCTTCTCGTTACTGTAGAAAGTGAAAGGGAAACCTCCGTCTTGCTCACCTCATCTAATCCGGGGTGCGCCTGCCTTCCCATGTTCTCACCCACTTTCTGGTCTTCACACCTGCCTCCCATGTTCACACCTGTCTTCCACATGTTCACACCTACCTTCTGGTCTTCATACCTGCCTCCCCATGTTCACACCTGTCTTCCACATGTTCACACCTACCTTCTGGTCTTCACACCTGCATCCCCATGTTCACACCTGCCTCCCCATGTTCACACCTGTCTTCCACATGTTCACACCTGTCTTCCCATCTTCACCTTCATCTTCCTCTTGTTCACTACTGTCTTCCCTATGTTTGTACTGGTTTTCTACATGTTCACACGTGTAGTCATTACATGTCTCCCATCTTCACAGCCATCTCTCCTGTATTCACGCCTGTCTTCTCCACATTCACATCTAGCTTCCCATCTTCACACCGACTTCCCTGTGTCCACACCTGTCTTCTCCATGTTCACACTGACTTCCCTGTGCCCACACCTGTCTTCTCCGTGTTCGCCCTGGACTTCCCTGTGTCCACACCTGTCTTCTCCATGTTCACACCGACTTCCCTGTGTCCACACCTGTCTTCTCCATGTTCACACTGACTTCCCTGTGCCCACACCTGTCTTCTCCGTGTTCACCCTGGACTTCCCTGTGTCCACACCTGTCTTCTCCATCTTCACACCGACTTCCCTGTGTCCACACCTGTCTTCTCCATGTTCACACCGACTTCCCTGTGTCCACACCTGTCTTCTCCGTGTTCGCCCTGGACTTCCCTGTGTTCACACCTGTATTCTTCATGTTCGCACTGGACTTCCTGTGTTCACACCTGACTTCTCCGTGCCATACCTGTCTCCCCACCTTCACACCTACCTTCCCTGTGTTCACACCTGTCCTTTCCATGTTCACACCTGACTCCCCAGATTCATACCTGCCTTTCTCACCTTTTTGGTTTGAAGAGTCTTCAGTCATTTGTTTTCCTTTGTTCCCTGAAAATCAGTATTATTTTTTAAATAAGAAAAACATTTCTAAAAGACAGTCATTGTGAAAAACCTATTGTGGCCTCTCTGCGCTTCCAGGTTTTAGTCTCTTTACTCCCCGTCCAGGAAAGACGATGACAGACAAAAGCTCAACTTCTCCCAGTCTCTTTGCGCCTTCACTCGATCTGCCTGCGAAGTGGTCATGAGAAAATCGGAGGGTTTTCTCAGGTCAGGTCCCCAGCAGAGCCTGACGGGGTCTGAATGCACACGGTCTGTGGTGGGGTGCTCCCAAAGGAAACCTGAAGGCCTCTCTCAGTCAGTTATTGGCTGTGGGACATCCCCTGGGGACAGACCTGGCCCTCCAGGAAAAACCAGTTGGGTATACGGTGTAGGGTAAGAAGCATGGCTTTTCCTAACACTTGTATCTCCAAAATCTTCCAGCGGTCAACCTGTCCCAATAAGGAGTGCCAGAGTCGAGGTGACAGTGTTGTTTTGCTTTTTGTGTGTTTTATAGCTGTCAGAGGGTGCGTGCTCCCACCAGAGAGAGACAGAGTAATATAGGGAAAAAGCATCCCCCCAGTGGGAGGCATGGTCACACTACAATCCCTTCATTTTTCCATGCTGTTGGGATTTGAGCACACGGGCGCATACACCTCATGTATTTTTCAAGCCACTGGGCCAGGATTCTAACCGCTGTCAGCCTTGTGGGATCCAGCTCCCTTTAGCCAGTGAGCTACATAGTGCTGGCCTGAGGCCGCAGTTTTCAATAGGATGATCAGGGAAGGTCTCACTAAGAAGGTGACATTAGACTGGGACCAGCAGATGGGGTCATGCTTATGTCACTGGACTTCCATGTAGTTGACTGTGGTTTGAGTCCCAGACCCAGCGGCTTAAAAGTCATGCCAGGCATGTGTGCGTGCGTGCCCAAAATCCCAAGAAGGGAATGGAGGAGAAGGGACTGCGGCATGGCCATTCCCCCTACGGGGTGATTTCTCACTTTCTATCTCTCTGTCTCTCTCTTTCTGGCGAGTGCATGCACCCTATACCAAAAACGTCTCAAAAAAAAAAAGTTGGTGCAGTGCAGACTCTGAGGCTGGGATGGGAGATTTTAGCCTGCAAATCTGCAAATAAAATTGGAAGAGTGTCTTGGGCCAGGTCCCAGCAGAACCTGAGACAGATCTGGTTGCACGGGCTGCTCTCAAGAGAAATCTGGGAGCCTCTGTCAGTCAGTTATCAGCTACTGCATGTCCCCTGGGGGCAAAGGGACCTTTGAAGGCAAGTGGCTTCAGCTGAGGGCGATTCTCTGGTGAAGGGGCTGGAACCCAGGCAGCTCACATCACTGTAGCTGCCCTGGAAGGGATCCAGGAGCTCCACAGAGCCCACTGCCGAGCACCAAGCACCAACCTGCCCTTGGAATGGAAAGCCATGAGGTGCAATGGGACCTCCTAGACTGTGCGTCTATATTGAGAAACGACTGAAAAGGGCCAAGGGCAGAGCCCTGGGGTCTCTGGGACATGAGAGATCAGAGAGGCTGGTCCCTTTGAGTTCAGAGAAAACCTGGAGGGTGTGGCGTCCTGAACACCTAGTTCTCTTTATTCAACCTACTCCCTCCTCCCGGAAGCCATCAGTCTGCCTGGGACCCTGCAGGGAGGGAGTGGGAGGAGACTGGCACAATATTTGGGAGACAGAACTTTTCCCACAATGGCCCGGGAAGGGGTGAGGAGGTGGCATTTCAGGTCTTTGCATCGTGGTGATGAACTGGGGCAGAAAGCCCACACGATTGTGCTTTGCCGGGTTTCCTCTCCCCCAGCACATGACCCCCACCCTGGACTTGGGTGCACCCTTCTGTGGCTCCTTCTGCACTGTCCTCCCCACACACCCTCATCCCTCCTGAGGGCTCTTCCTCTCCACCTGCGGGAGAACCCATGCCAGCTACTACCATTCCTGGCTTTGGCTGAATTTGCCACGTTGACCGAGTCTCCCCCGGGACTGTTTATTCTGACACAAGGGAGTTGGTGTTATTATTCACGGGTGCCTGTGAGGCCCCAGCAGCCTCCTACAGCCAGCGATGAGTCAGGTCCGCGGGGGATGGCCTCCACCCGTGGAACTCTGGCTTCCCTCGCCCCACCCTCTACTCCACCTAGGACACCGCTTGAAATCAGTGGGGAAGAGGGTCATAGGCTGGACTAGAAAGTCGTGGGGGTCCCCAAGAGCACACACCCTCCCCAGCACGCCTGGGCCCGTCTCCTGGCAGCTGTTTAACGCCCCTGGCTGTGGTCAGCCTTCCCGAAAATGAAAGGAGCCGTCCATCCACAGGGCCCCGGGCTGGACTGGGTACTCTGACTCACTGCACCTCAGGTGCTCTGCAGGGCTATAAACAGGTCCCCTTCCTCTGAGCTTGGGGTGAACTTTTTGCAGATGATCGACCAGGTCGAGGTGGAGTAGGGGTGGAGGGGCCTCCTTAACTCACTGAAACTGGTTTCCTTTCATGGGGGTTGAAAAGCACCTCCACCCCCACCCTCGCAATGTCGCCGGAGGAAAAGACCCTGGTGCCAATATGGTCACATTGGTCAGCCTTTGTTTGGCTGAAGCCTATGAAGATGAGTTATTCATTTTTTTAAAGAATTATTTTACTTTATTCTTTTTAAAAATAATTATTTAATTCCGTTTGTTATTATTATTATTATTATTTAATTTGACGAGACAGAGATTGAAAAAGGAAAAGTGAGAAAGCAAGTCACCAAGTCCGGGACTCGAACAGCATTTGGCCATGTAGGAATCCAGTGCCTTTAACCACCATGCTAGCTGCCAGATCCTCATTTATTATTTTTTAATCTGACTAGAGAGATGCAGAGAGAAAGCAAACTGCCAGGTCCAGGACTGGAACCACAGTCAGCCATGTGGGAGTCTAGCGCCTCAACCACCATGCTACCTGCCGGCCCTGCTCATTTTTATTTTTTAATTGCCAGAGGGCATATGTGCTCACCCAAGAGACAGACAGCAAAAGAAAGCACCCCCAGGACCAGCAGTTAGCATATTGGCTATGTCGCTGGACTCCCATGTAGTCAACTGCAGTTTGAGTCCCAGACCAGTGGCTTAAACTCATGCCAGGTGCGTGTGCGTGCGTGCCCAAGATCCCAAGAGGAGAATGGAGGAGAAGGGATTGTGGTATGGCTGTCCCCCACCCCCGGGGGGGGGTGATTTCTTGCCTTCTGTCTCTCTGTCTCTCTCTGTCTCTCTGGCGAGCACACACGCCCTATAGCAAAAACCTCTCCAAAAAAAGAAAAGAAAGAAAGGAAGGAAGGAAGAAAGAAAGAAAGAAAGCACCCCCAATGGCCATACCATAACCCTTTTTTCATTTCTCCACTCTGTTGGGATTTTGAACATACACACGCTCACACCTGGTATGTATTGAAAGCCTTGGTTCTGGGATTTGAACCGCAATTGGCCATGTGGGATCCAGTTCCATTAACCCCTAGGTTATTGGCTGGCCCTAAATTCTTTATTTCAAAGGAAAGCAAACCAGCCTTGAAAACATTTAGGCTGGCTTGCCCAAACCTACCATGAAACCCCAGTGTGCATGCTGCACTCAGCGACCTCAACCCAACACCTCCCTGACCGTGTTTCTTGGAAGAGCCTAGAAGATTCCTGGATTGAGACTGCTTAGGTTCAGCATCAGTCTGGCCTGTCTTCCAAAAACACAAACTCATCTGTAAGCTTTGTGGGAGTGTTAGGTCCCCTCTTATGATACTTTGCTTGTCCGTTGCATGGAACCTGGCGGTCACCCTGTTTGGTTTCTCCAGCTGGTCCCAGGGAGTCTGCCCACTGTGGTGAGGTGTCTGGCCAGCCCCGTGGTGCTCAGGGAACCCAGGCTGTGAAGGGTCTGAAGGCTTTTTGTGGTCATTGCTAACATTCAGACTTGACTTCTGGAGAGGAGAGAGGGCTCTGGGAATTTCGTGTATACACATGGATTTACCAGTGACTAATTGACTGAAAGGTAGCACCTACCAACGCATTCAATGCACTGATATTTCTCTGAATTTTGACACTTTGTAATTATTACCACTAACCCGTTGTGCTCACTGCTGTGACCCCGAAGGAAGACCACGGGGGACGTTGACCACAAAGGCCGCCTTAGGAAGGAAACGTACGCTTTGAGTTCTTCGTAAGGAAATTTAAAGAGCACAGGAATTTTATTGAACCCAACTCAGTGGCAAACAGCAAATGATTTGTTAGCTCGTCAATGGGAAAGGGTTTATTATGACTGCCGGTGGGATAAACAGTGGCCCGTTTCTGCCAACGTTTATGGAAAGAACGTTTTTTTTAAGTTTTCAGTGTGCGCTGGAAACCTTCGAAGCTACTTCAGTATATATATTTTTTTAAAAAAAAGTCAATACTTAAACTGTGGGGAAAGGTGGATTCGTGCCAGAAAAAACATTCTCATTTAATAGTGTTTGAACATGGAACTGCAACACAGTTTAGAGTGAGGCTCTGAGAGAAACCCACAACTAATCTTTCGTCGCAGCTGTCTGAACTCTTGATCATCTGCCATCCCCCAAACAGCGACTTCTTTTTTCTGGTGACTCCAGGCTTGAATGACCTAGTGTGGAGAGTTTCAACTATGTACAAGGCAGGGGGAGAAAAAGGAAAGGAGCTTGAAGTGAGCCTCAGCCAGAGGTTTTATGCAGTGGACTTCCTGTGCCTGCAGCCAGGGCAAGACTGTGCCCCATGCCTGTCCCCGTGGCATCCCCCTGAAAGAGACCGAAAGCACCTCCACGCTCCCTGACGGCCCAGTCTCACCTTCACTCTCACCCCTGACATAACCTATGGTTGCAGGGAGAGTGCTTTTCCTTCCAGAGCAGGCACGTGAACTGCCGCACCCCAGCACCTAACACTGTCTCCTCGCAAAGGTCTGCGTTGGGTTGTTGAGTGAGTGAATGAGCGGCCTCAATGTGCTCTTGGAACTGGTAGTAAGGGACTAGTGTCTCATTTTACAAAAAAAGGATGGGGAGAAATTAAGCAATGTGACCAGCAGATATAATAAGAGAGTCCATAGTTTTTTTGTTTTTAAATTTG